CACTTGTAAACCTTTCTCTTTAACCAAACGAATTGGAAGAATGGGAACTCTTGACAACATACTTATTTATCTTTGAATTACTATGAATCTGAATGAAGATAAGCAAACATTCATTTTTGGTTTTAAAATTACAGGTGGTCCTCGGGTTACGATGGCAATTGGGACCAGGACCTCTGTCACTAAGCAATGCAGTCATAAAGTGTGATGGCACATGACCACATCCCTTAGCAATGGCAATTCTGGCAGTCCCGGTTGCTGTTGTTAAATGAGGACCGTGCGGGTCATTACGCAAGAATCTCGCATGATTGCAACTTCCAACTTCCTGCTGGCTTCCCCATTGACTTTGTTTGTGGGAAGGCAGCAGAGTATGTGGGAAATCGCAATCGTGACCATGGCTTGCTTCAATGTCATAATCGTGAGCACCCAGATTGCAATCACGTGACCGTGGGGATCCTGCAACAGCTGGAACTCTGGGGACCTGTCATAACCCCCTTGTTCAGTGTTGCAATTTTGAATGGTTGTTGAACAAATGGTCGTAACCTGAGGACTACCTGTAATATAGAGGAAGGTGCAGATTAACATCCCCCAGGGAGTCTCTCTGCAAAGGTTCTGTAACCTTATTTCACTAGGTTTCAGTTGACTGTTTTTCCTCAAAGGGACACCAAAACAATACGAAATTTGAATCCACTAACAAGAATTACGTATTTCTTGATGTTTTAACTTTCTATATCAATCACTGGGGGAGCATTTTTGGCTCTAAAAAATAACACAGAAATACTGGCAATAAATAAATTGATCTTCTGATCCTCTCTTGCAAACCGCCCTTCCTACAGTTCATTATTCACAGTAAATATGTGGCATGACAGGGCTAGGAAATGGGAATTGACTGAGATGCAGGTTCTGCACAAGACCTTTTATAATCTGAAGTGAAGCAGCAAATCTCTCTCACCTGAGTCAATGTGCCTTGCACTCAAAAGCCAGCCAAATTATTCTGGCACATGAGGCAGAAAATCCTGAAAGCATGCACCCTCCACCCATCATCCCTGAGAATAAAATATTATTATTATTTTAATGATATAATATTACAATAATAATATGAGCAATGAATACTCTTCTGCTTTTTGATAACATTCAAAATCTCCTCTACCCCTGCCTTGCTGATACAACTTCTGCCCTGATACAATTTGATAGCTCCTTCCAGCTAAACAATGGAAGCCCTTGTTGCTATTCACATTCAGAAAAAGTAGGCAACCCCTTGGCAGTGGTGGGCCCATATGACAGTTGGGGAACATGAGACATTCATGTTCTCATTTAGTGCTTGCCTATTTACAAAATGGTTGCCATGATGTGTGTGGTCAGTCAAGAAATCCATGTCCATGAAAGTATGCTGTAAGGTGGCTCTGGGCCACCCCTCCCACTGCTCTCTATTGTGAGAGACAACTATTTTTTTGGAGGGGGGTGTGTAAAATAGTATACTTCCAAGCAAACTCTGGACTGCAATCATCACCTGCCATATACTTGTTTTCTGAAATTGTGTATGAGGCTTCTGTGGCTTCCAGAGGCTGCCTTATAAATAAAGGTGACAGAATTAGTTATTTGTTTTGCACATTCCAGTTTTCCAGTTATTATTTTCAGTGTTAACATGGCACAAAGAGTCTGGCCTTTTGCATATGATGGGAAATAGGTAAGAGGTAAGAGAAAGAAATGGATCCTTTGGATTGAATGGCAACTTGAGAACCAGAAGAAAACCATCTGAATCTCCAGGGCATCCAAATTTTTTAAACTACTGTTGCCAGATAGGAATTCTTGTGGACACCATCTTCTAACCTGAATTTAAACTGACCACGATGTTTAACCACTTCCCCAGGAGTTCTTTGTCTCAGATGATGGAAGAAAACCACCCAGATGGGACGAGATGGTGGAAAGGTGATACATGATAAGAAATAGCCACTACCCAGTACATTTCTTTTTCCTTAACAAGAGGGGAGGTGGACAACAAATTGGTGTGACTGAAAGAAAAAGGGAGAGACTGCCTAAAGTAGAGGATTAGCACTGAAAGAAAATCCTACAATTGAAGTTATCTTGGAACAAGAATTGTCATTTGTCATAAGCATTAGATTACATTTTCTGTTGAGTATATACAGGGTCTGTAGGGTGGGCGGGGGGTCAAGAAAAGTCAAGATGGTGGCCAATGATTTTGTCAATGGAAACATTTCCCAGTAGCTATGTGGAGCAAATGTTAACATTTTATATAAATTAAAGTGATCTTCTTCCACTTGGACTAACTTGGAAAAAAAATCAGGAGTCAGGTAGCACTTTTTCCAACTAACACTTTTTATTAAAAGGCATAAGCTTTCATGTGCTGCATTTCACCAAAGCTTATGCCTTTTAATAAAATCTATTAGTCAGAAAAGGTGCTACCGAAGTCCTGATTTTGTGTCACCATAGCCCAACACAGCTCCCATCCTATAATGTCTGGACTAACTTCCTAATTGACAATTAATAATTTATTCACTATATCACTTGCAGGCTGAGCTAGTGGATTCTTATACAGGATGATTATAGTGGACAATCAAGCTATGACATTTTTCTTACTTTCTTCTAAACTTAAAAGAGCAGGGAGACAGATGCCGCCATCCAAAAATAAAAGAAGTGGTAGCAGTGTATTATCAGAAACAGAAAATGGCTGTCCCAGAGCAAAAATCCTGGGAGCTGCTGAGTACCACCCAGCTGAGGAAAAGGGCTAGATTTGCTAAGAAGCCCACAGGAGGGTTGAAGTGTGAATTGGAATGGAAAAGGTTTGTTCTTTTACATGACAGTTATAATTTGTTGTGTTCCTAGGTACTGTCTCTGGAAGAACTAGAATCCTGGAGTTGGGTTTATTTCCCACTGTGGGGGAAGTCAATTCATTTGCAGAGCTCAATTTGAAACTGAACAGGTGGAAACAGTTCACCCATCACTAATTACAACATGCACTCAAATACTTCATATAATTGTTTCAATAACAAGAAATCCAGCTTTAAGACCACTGAGGAAGATTTTTCCAGTTCAATCAAACTATCAAGTCATGCAAAGTAATTTATAGTACTGAATGAAAACTGTGATGAAATGGTTAACTGTTGCATTTTTGCAAGAAAAGGGTTAATGGGACCCTTCCATTTAAGAAAGGTAGGAAGAAACCTATGGGAACTTAGTGGAGGGAACTGACCACTGGAGGAAAGAAAAGGACTGATGGGGTTGTCTACAGGGTCAAAAGGATCAAGACAGCTCCATACAATTGAAGTCACCCCCCCTTTTTTTTTACATGTGTCACATGTAAAAAGAACATGGCTTCAATCATGTAATTGCAGCACTCATCCTGGCTTTTTTGACCCACCCTTCTGTCAGATATCCCTGGACGTCCATGATTAGGCACTCCAGAAGAATTTTTTTCATGTACCTGCATATAAAGCAACTTCTATATGCCAATTCATAAAATTACTGCCAAATAAAGTATTGATTGTTAATAATCAACTAGTTCTCTAAGTAAATGAGAGACAGAGTATAATAATCCTACCACACAGCATACCAAACATTGTAAATTATCAAGAAAAGACCCAGTAAAAGAGGAGATAGCTTCAGTATAAGAATTTTAAATTTATGATTTTGGGTGGTGGCAGTGATATGATAGATTATATTTCTCCCCCAAATACATATTTCTTTCAAGGCCATGTTGAACCACCACCCAGATTATGCTCTTCCAGGGGTATTTCAGCAAGTTTCCAGAAGTAAATTTTTCAAACTAGAAACAGTTCAAAGCAGGCAGGTCTGGAAGCTGCACCATTTCTGGAAACTGCTAAACTGCCCCCAGAATAATGGTTCAGGAAGATGTTCCAAGTGGTCTAGAATGAAACAGAAGTACCTGGAAAATTCTGTTCAGAGATCAACAGATTTCACACATTCCTGCTAAAGGAAAATAATTGATATCACCAATCTACAGTTGTACATGCTGTACGTGGAATTCCCTACCCTAAAAGTGTCTGTAGCTGCCACCATGGCCTGGGTTCATATAACATGTTTAACCATGTCTTGTTGAATTAATCACAACTGTCCAGCTTTACACAATATATTAAACCAAAACTAGACAAACCACATCATGAATTAGCATGACATGTAAATCCAGGGACTGACTGCATCTGATTGCAGAATAGGTGAAAGGGGTAGAATGCAAAACAAATTGCTTTTAAATTTAGGTTTCTGTTTGGTTAGTTATTCTAATATATAAACGTATATAAAACATAAACATGCTGCAAAAAAAGTATATGAAAAAGACATGGATGAATTTGATTGCATTAATTTCTCTTCAGATTAAAAGGCATACTCCATTCTTTTTACAGAATGGTTTTCTTTTTAATTAATATTTAGGTTTTAGTATCTGCCTACTGCCTTGATTTTCTCATTTGGACTATAAAATGTGGATGTTTTCTGATATAGCCCTGGCTGATTTCTCCAATGATAAAAGGGAGATTTTGCTGCTTCTGCTGGAATTTACAGGTTACCATCTGGAATTACTTACAAGTGGATTTTCTTTGCAGAAACGCTCTCCTCCACCTGATATTTTAGGCATTTACCAAGGACTCATCTTTTTACTTAGTCTTTTCTGTGTGGATAACTCATGTGAATATGTTTTATATTCAATGTGCTTAATATACAGTAATTTTATTTGTTAGTATTTAAATTATTTCTGCCCTTTGCTTCTTGATAGTTTAACTTTGATAAGTTTGAATATACAAATCTATATAGAAATTGCTTAGAAGAAATAGGTGAAAAGAAATCTGGGAGTATTAAAAAAAACAGCAGAAAGTAAAAAAAATTGACCTACCTACCTACCCACCCATCTATCTCCTTTCTATTTTTTTGATGTGACCAAAACGATGTGACAGGCATTTTTATCTTCCTCCCTCAAAGTCCACTTGTACCTTCCAGTTATGAATTTGGCAAAATTAAAATAAAAATTGTACCTGTCGTGTCTGAGGGCCCTCATATCAACATACACAGTGGTCGGATCTGGCCCAGATGTTCCCTGTAAAAGAAAACTGTTAGTTAGCTTCTGAATAAATAGGTCTCTCTACGTGTTATTTATTGTTACAATTTCAAACCGAAAATCTGTTATACTGTCATGGTAAAAAAACATAGAACACATTAGTATTGTCTGTATGCATATGTATGTGGAAATCTAATCATCTCTTCTTTGGCTTCTTCATTAACTGTTGATTGCAAACCTAATTTCTAGTTGGTCATCTTCCTGAAAATGAGTCTCAATGGAAAAACAATGAAAGGTTCCCAGGTTTGGCAAATTCTAAAAGAAAGGGAATTGGCTGAAGACAACACAGCCTGTAAAGGCTCAGGCAGGTGATTAACTTTTCTGAGACACTTATGCAAAAGTTTTATTTAAAGTTGACAATGTTCTCAGGCAAGAGATATGATATTAACACATACAGACTGAGGAACCATAAGCAGTTATTCTGCTATTTTAAAAATATATTGTATTTTAAAAAGCAGTGCATTAATTTGTTCATGGTTTGCCTTCACATCCCCTGGCCATTTCACCCACAATACAGTAATTCTTACTATGTCCACGTACTTATGCTCTTTAGAGAAGCTTTCTTCTTTCTATGCTAAGACTGGGTTCACACCCTACACTAAACCATGGTTTATTGATTGGGATCATATATCACACCAAGTCAAAAAACATGGTTTACAAACCACAGAGATTGAGTTCACACTGAAGGCTAAATGAACAAATTGGCTTAGTATATCATGTGAAGTAGCCCAAGAGAGACTTGCACCTCAGTGCAATTAAAACAAAAACAAAAAAAAACTAAGACATGGTGCATTGGGCTAAGTACCATACAGTGCAATCCAGGACAGATTATTTGGATTAGAAACCAGATGTATTAAACCACACTGCTTTCTAATCGCCTTCAGGTTCTGTTGCAACACCGGCGCTGCAAAGCCACTTCACATGTTTGGAGATGCTTTAAGACTTAAAGTGCCCAACCTGTCCTGTGCAATGTGCCAAAAATGTGCATTTGCAGAAAGGCACATTCTATAGGCATATTAGCTAGAGAGGAATAATTGGTTCATTTTACAGTGTATATTCTCTTGATGGACAACCCAAATCTGGATATGTCTAAAGGGGGGACAGCTATTATGCCAGCACATGTTTAATGAGAGCTGGTTTGGTGTAGTTTCAATTTATTTATGGCCAAAAGGCCAAAATAAGGTTTAGTGTAGTGGTTAAAGTGTTGGACAAGAATTGGGGAGATCCAGGTTCAAGTTTGCTCTCAGCCACAGATGCTCCCTGGATGACTTTAGCCCAGTCACTCTTTCTCAGCTCAATTATGAAGGTGGGGAAAAATTGGACAGGGTGTTATATATACTGCCTTGAGCTCCTGAAGGAAAGTTGGACAACAAAGAAACGAATGAAGAACTATTGGGACATCTACAAAAATAGGGCAAACTGGCACAGCATGAGGTTGAAAAAGAATGGACACTGGATTCCTCTTGGGTTTCCAGGCTGCTTTTTGGCACTTTATTTCTTGGCACTCCTTAAAAAAAGCAGGCTTTATGCTAAGGAAAGCAGGAGGCATCTAAAAGAAGTAACATGTGCTAAACATTTACCAGCATCCCATCACCAGGAGAGCAAGAAAAAAGTGCAGAAGGGGCATCACCAGGCAACTTGGCATAATGTCAACACATTGTATTCTTGTGTTGGCATACAGGGGCTCAGCTCTCAATGTACTAATATACTCAGCAGCAGCGTAACAGACTAGTGCCGAGAGCGGAGAAGCCCATTACCATTAATGAAAAAGTGGGGGAGTGGGAGAGAATCAGTCTATAAATATTACCTTAGGATTTGTTTGCATGATTAACCAGAAGCAGGTTATAAAATTAATTTGTGACAGTTTGTACATCAGGGATCAACCTGGGTGCTGTTTTTTAAAACATATTCCCAATCACGTTAATAAAGTGTTGGTTAACTTTTGATGAAGACTATATCTGGATCACAGCTATGAAATATTTCATTTCTTTACACAAAATTTTCTTCCCTTGACATTTCCCAGTCAAGGGCACTCCTGGCTGTTGCACGTAATCACACAAATCACATGCATGTCCCCACTCAGAGGTCTCCGGATTCTATCTAGTCTGTCCACTGCCAGGTGGATATTTTAGGGAACACATAAATTCCCTACCTGCTCGCCCAGTTTCCCCAGCCCGTGCGGCTGCAGCGGCAGGAATAGGGGGAGATGGGGAGAAGGAAAGACAGTAACACATGAAAAAAATAATAAAGGTAATAATAATTGAAAAAGAAATGGAAAATAAAGAGAATTATGCAAAAAGAGTGGACTAAAATAAAAGGAAAAACCACGCCCAATATAAGAATTTATAAACCATAGACATTCTATCGTTTAAATTTCTAAAATGAAAATAAATACATGGATAAATAAGATGGAAGTGTCCATTTTAGTAGAGCAAGCAGGACAGGCAGAAGTACGTAGATTTTCCTATTTTTAACAAATTATTTTGTAGACATTCTACAAAATGTCTACAAGGTATAATTTAAGAGACATTATAGATACTACTGTTTGAGGACATTGTGTGGCACTCTATTTTTCAAATGAAACACGTTGCACTATACTTTAACATTCCTGTAATTGCCATACCTTTTTCAAAAGATAAAAATGAAAAGGAACATTTCATTGTTAAACCTGAAAAGTGCATTTGTGGGTAAGGGGCGGGACAAGTCACCCACTTCTGAGGAATGTTCAACTCCATGATGTATCATTCTATCATGACACCTGCCCCCCATCATACACACGTTTGTCTCCCTGAATGAAACTGAGCCAGGGAGTTCTCCATTCCCCAAACTAAAGTGTAAATCTGCTAAGTAATTTTAGTTATAAGGAAGCTGCTTCCAAGGGCAGAAATGGTACATCCTGAACTTCACCAATATCTTCTGCTTCATTGTAAGTGTCAGTCCCACTAGGTACACTACTAGATCATGAAATCAACTCCACAGGAAGTCTAAAACTACTTTTATTGAGCGTGACTATAACAACAGAATCTTGTAAGTCTGATTGTGTTGTACTTCCTCTTACTTATACTTCAGCAGATTAGGGTGGCATCTGCCTGAGCAGCTTCCAAATGCTATCTTGTTGTGGGCTTAAAAAATATTTTTAAGGCAAACAGAGCCTGCATATATCTGTCAAGGTCATCTTTCTTACTCTCTACAGTAAATTTGCCATTTCTGCCTTTTGCAGTGCTACTGTATGAACCAATATATCTACAGCACAATCCTACAACGTTTATTCAGTAGGTCCTGCTGCGTTCTGAAGGGCTAAGTCCCAAGCAATTGAATACAATGCAGTCTCAAGTTCTATTATTAATTCAGCCCCAGGGCAAAGTGGGCTAAAGTAAAAGTGAGGGCTAAATTGATTAGGCTGAATAATTTTCAAAGAAAGAAAATAAATGATCTCCCACTACACTAAGTTTTTCATCCAACAAAGATCTTCCTGCCAGAAGATCCAGGATCTAGGTGTCATAAAACACAGTAGAATGCAGAAAAGATATATGTTAGTAGTAACTACGAACTACTAAATTCAGGAAATAAACTTCTAAGACCTAGGATCTGATCCTTGTGGAAAACATGCATCTAGAAAACATCTAGTTGCCTGTTGTTCTAGACTTTAGGTCAACAGTAGACAAATATTCTCCAGGTATGCTGGGGTACAAATCCCATAACCCTCAAGTAGCATAGCAAGCCATGCCTGCAAGTAACAACATTCTCAGAATTCTGCATGGATGAATTATTTGATTCTTCTCAATCACAAGGACAACTCCATCTGAACAATTAAGATGAAGATCAAGTTGGCATTGAAGCAAGTTTAAAGTGAAATTTTAAACAGGCAAGGATCTGTAGACTTTTGTGAAAGGCATCCTCTCTACAAACATGCACCACATTGCATATCATCAAAACTTTTCTTAGGATATACATTTTGTCAAGGATTGAATATGATGGATTGGATCCAAATAATCAACTGCATTTTGATTCTACTGAAACTAATAGGGCAAGTCAATCTTACAGCATAATTCATTGATTTCAATGAGAAATAAGTTTAGCTTACTTCCTCTGAATCCAACCCAGTAAATATATGCAAGGTTGTAATGTTTTCAAAATCAACACTGAAACAGATAGGTAGGCAGGATATCCTTAAATGGATATCCATTAAATCCTGGATATAAGACAGTAACCTAATTGTGAGCAGATGATGTAAACAAAGTATTTATTTATTTAACATATGTATGTTTGTCCATTTATAAAGCTGAGTTCAAAGCAACTTCTGGAGGTTTACTTTCCTGAAATTTTAAATTAAGTGAAATTGAAACAATTCTCTCAATTATCTCGAACATTAGTCCTGCATGGGTCCCTAGAAACCCTTCAGGTACAAGAGAGTAGTACTTTGGGACTTTCTGAATGTGGAACAGTTAACAATCTTAATGCATACATTTGATATGCACAAAGAAAGTCAGTCTGGAACAATCAATGTAATCTAGGACATTGTTCATAGCCAATGCTCATGATCTATTGAGCAGCCTAGGCAATGATCAATACTCCTCAAAGAGACTGATGGTTGCAAGTTTCTTTTGATAGCTTTAGTAAGTTATTTATTATAATTTTGGCACATTGCCATAGGGTAGTGGATTTCTCCAGCTGTATATTATCTCCACAGAAAGTTTATACACTTTGCCATATTAATATTTCTGATGGAAAATGACTGTTATGTTATTTCCATAGCAAAACCTCCTCAGCTTCAAGATGTATGGGCCACTAACCAGCTAATAAGGCCAATTCATCCCAGCTGTCATTGCCTTTCAAAGAAAGGATTTTTTCTAACAGTGACATTAAAATAAATACTTAAACGAATACCAAGATATGGCGAGAAACATCAGATTTTGCAGGTATATTTATTTATTTATTATTAAGTTTGTATGCCGCCCATCTCCCTCCAGTGGGAGACTCTGGGTGGCTCACAATTAAAATCAGAAACCCCATCAACAATTAACCCCCCCCCATAAATAGTTAAATAAATAATCCATTAAAAATATATCTGATGAGCACCATAGCACAACCTCCTTTCTCACTAACAAATGAAAATATAGCACAATGTATCCACAATGTTAATGCTGCTACTTCTTTAGAAAGACTGATTTGTATAATGTAGGTATGTATCTACGCATGCATGCATCCATGCAAGCTTGTAGGTCTTGAGTAGTCTTTATTTTATTTATAATGTTTGTAACCTGCCCCAAGTTGAAGCCCTTGGGTGGTGTACAACGTATTATCATGAAACCTGGAATGAGAATAAACTCTATGACTTAAGTAAAACAGGCAGTTTGTGTCCTTGATTGACTCTGCAACTTGAATGCTTCTGATGCTTTTCTGAGGCTAGCAGACTTCACGTCCATTTAGGATGTTGCTTCGGCACAATGGCATCACTGGCAAGAAGCCACTGTGCGATCAGAATGGCAGCATCTGTAAGAGATTTTATTACTGTTCCCCTTTATGTCATGGAGTGGGGGCACTAAGGTTTAGAACTGAGTGCAATACAATCTGCCTCTATCCAACAAAGGAAGTAGGGAAAAGAAAATCTGACTGTGAAAGTTAGAAGACTGCAGAATCTTAGAATGCATGCAGGGAAGTAGTGTAAAACATGTGGCCAATGGCACATTTGAATCTCTGCCCACTTTGCAACCCCTCCCCCCTTTTGGCTGAATAAATATTTTCCCATATCAAGGCCAGGGAACTGTTGCCCAACGGTGCCCATATACATCCTGAAATCATACTGCGGGGGGAAGGATCAAGCCATGTGCTTTCTCCAAGTGATGTGGCTGTTGGAAACCTGAAACTAAAGTTACAAAGAAAAGAAGTCCAACAAGTGACATAAAACAAATGGACATAGTTATAAACGTAAAGTAAATACTAAGGAATTACCAGAAAAAAATCCAAGAAGTACGTCGCATTTATAATGTGAAACTAACATGAAATGGGAAGATGGGAACCATCAAAAAACAGGACTGGAATAGGGAGCAGGAAAAGATCATATTTTTCCACCCAAATAAATTTTTATTTGAAATGGATGAGGTTCACCTTCAGATATGCATAGAGGAAAAAATAACACAAGCCTATTTTATAAGATTCTAATACTAATAAAATGCTTATAAGCTTTACTACTGTGATATGCAAATAACATTTTAGTTTCTAAAACACTATTATTAATGCTAAGTATTCTGGCTAAATTGTCATTTTTTCCAGAACAATATAAACTTGAGAGTTCCAATAAGGTTGGACTTCAAAGACCATAATGGCTAGGAACTCTGGGAGCTCAGGGAATCAGGCAGGCATCAGATTGGGGCAAGTAGATATGGACATTTAACCCATTTCTGACACTAGCCACAATAACTGAGTAACACTAAAGTGGTTTTAAGGCACTACATACATTCAAGTCCTTATTCTACTCACAAGAAAAAAAATAAGATTCTGATGTACTGTGCATAAAGATTTGGGTTGATTTTTACAAGTTACAAATTAAGGAACTTTCATGCAGACTTTCACTGCATTGCTTTTCGCACTGAGGGCAGAATAAATGCTATAAATGTAACATGAAAGAATTATGGAAAAAGCTCATTAACAAAAACAGAAAAGGTGTAAGTTTGCAGTATGAAAGAGGAACACCTATCCCTACATGCAACAATTAAGAAAGTAATAGCCACCTTGAGTGAAACCTGATTCTTTTCCTTTGAGGAAGAACTGCTTTTACAATTTCTGCCAACATGGGAGAAAGCCTTACCTGCAAACATATAGCCAGGTTAACTCTGCAGCCAAAGGATGTGCTGACAGCCCTGGGATGGAGGCCCAGATCTTTGAAAAGCTTTGAAAAAGATTGCGTCAGAGCTATTCGGGGCCGTTCTTCTGCCACAACCACACACGTCCGCACCCTTGACAGGTCCAGCCCCCTTGCCTGGAAACAAGGCACAAACTCAGGTCATCCCAGGGTAGTATTGATATTTAGATAGATTGTTATAATAATTTTTGAACCACCTGCCCTCTGAGGTTAAAAAAGAGCATCCAACAAAGTGGCATTCATTCAACCATTCTTTTAGAAGCAAATATATCTTACTACAACATATGGGACAAAGCAGAAATCCAAATCTATAACAATGCCTTTCCTTTCTTTTATTTCAGAATTGAAATAGCAAAGACATCAGAAGCAGTAATGAACTTTGGGCTATAAAAAATCCATTTTGGAGTAAATGGGAACATCGTCACAACAGACATCATCGATGTTTTTGCCAATGTGGTTCCTCTAGATTTTTTTGGACTACTTTCTGTAGTAGTTAGCTAAGAATGATGGGAACTGAAGTCTAACCTACCTAGAATTCTGCATTAGGGAGTGGAGAGGGTTTATTATTTTTACTTAGTTTCTAGAAGCCACACAAATTCAGCTCTTAAACTATGAGCCTGTTTTGAACAGATATAGGATGTGGTAATACTTATAATGCAACTTTTTGTTAGCTATCCTGAATCCCATCTCTTGGAAAAGTGAGGGGAAAGGGACAGACTGGCTTAAAAAGCTCCTTACATGCAACAAAACCTAAAAAGAGTCTTCAAGAAATTGAAAGTGCCTGAGCTCACATACCCTGCTAAGCTATTTAACTAGTTTTACTCAATGTATCACAATTGGCTAAATTCACGCAATGTTCTTAACCCAGTGTTTCCCAACTTTGACGACTTCCAGGAGGGTAACTTTCAACTCCCAGAATTCCCCAGCCAGCATAGTTATTACTGAGAACTCTTAAGAGTTGAAATTCATCCATCCAACACTAGGCTGTCTTAAACGGTATGTTCATGGCTTGCAAACTATAATGTTTGGGTTCACACAACTCACCAAGCCTAAACAAATCAAACCACATTATGGCTATGTGTGATGCCTGCTCATTTTGCTGAGTGGGGATTGGATTTCTGCCCCTAAAGGCACCAGTCTCCCCACCTTCACAAGGAAGAAATCTAGTGGTCTGAAAAGTCACAGATGTCTACAGGTGGTCCTGTGAAGGCTAGGCAGGCTTCTAGTGATATGTAATAGAAAAAAACAAGTATGAGGTTTATATGAATGTACCCTGAATAGCAAACTACAGACACAAAGGTGAAGCATCATTTTCTTTGCAGCCCTGCGCTCCAAAAATAACCAAGAAACAGCAGGTGAGAATGTTCCTGGAAAGTGAAATTCCACCTGCTCAACTGAAGGTGCAGCTCACTCCTTGATTTGTTTCTTCTCAATGAATGTGTTCCAAATTCAAAATGACAAATACTTATCAACAATCTAAACAGTGATATCAAGTGGGGAGGAGAAGTTCAGGCAAAAAAGGCTGGAGGGAGGAAGAAAAGGGAGAGAACAAGGATTCCTCACCTTCAGAGATTCTGTTTGTGAGCCAAGGCCCTTGGTGCAAAGCTCCATAACTGAGTAGGAACAAAAGGTATCTCTCACTTTGTACTGGCTCACAGCCAGAAGCCAAAGAGCAGGTGTAGTTTCCAATTCTGAGGGAGGAATTAAAATAGACTGGTGTCCTGAATAAACGCTGTAAAGATACAAGATTGGTTAATCCCATGACGAGAAATCTGTCTTGAGAGACCAGAAGACGGCAAATTGAAAAGGAAGTTATTTCTCAAACTTCAGGAAGGAGACAGCTCTCCCTGAGAGCTTTTAGCTTAGGAATGGACAACCTGAAGCCCTCCAGATGTTGCTCAGTTGGCTTCCAATTGCTCCATTAAGCATAGCCAATGATCAGGGATACTGAGTACTAACATGCAGCAACTACCAGAGGGCCACAGTTTCCCCGTAGCTCATAAATCTTAGAAATCAAAACAGCAGCAACAAATGTATATTCCAGAAGAAAAAGACAAAATGAGCTAGCTTTAAATCAGTTTATGTGGAGAGAGACTCAGTGGTTTGAATTTTATTCTGCCTACGCCAGATAGTTTTTTAATAGTAGCATGAAGATGGCAAGTTCCCTGTGATGAATTACTCCTGCTGTCAAGGATACTCGCTTGAGGAAATAGGCTTTTGCAAGCTACAAGATTCTTTTTCCCTGTGCCTCTGGGATTTGGAACAAAACAAGGATCGACTGAGCAAGTGGTTCAGTCGACCAGGTTTCTCACCTTGTGAGATGATTCACAGGTAACTTTATAGGAAGGGACGCTAAAGTTGGCAAGGTACCTCACTTTGCATACAAAAGATCCCATGTTTGATCACTGGGAGATAGCTTGCAAATCATTTGCCACTTCCTTTTTCTGGAATGTTATCATATACAACTCTGAGATTTCCTGATAGTTTGCAATTTGTATTGTCGAAGGCTTTCACGGCCGGCATACGATGGCTGGTGTGGGTCTTCCGGGCTGTGTGGCCGTGTTCTGGAAGTTTTGTTTCCT